CAAGTAAACATGAATTACCGATAATTCTGTATTATTCCACGAGAACTCATTCCACTGACGGCAAATGACTTCGCCATGACTTTAAGATTTCGGAATGATTTCAGAAAGAATTTCCATGGGCTAAAATCGCGTAATCGCCGCAATTTCGATCCTGCGAGGGATTTTATCGATTTTGAACGATCGATTCCTTCAATCGATTGTTACCGATTATTTACAAATGATTCCAACCTAGATTTCCTTCACAAAAAAAGAACACAATTTTTTTTTCAATTCCTACCCGGGTTAAAAAAATTGAAATCGAAATATTTTTTCCAAATTTTCAAAAATTTAAATAGGAAAAGTTTTTTTATAATTATAATATAGATGGCGGATTTTTTGAGAATATTGAAAAATTGAAAAAGTAAGAAAACCACAGTATAATTAAAAAAAAATTATATTCGCAAAAATTTCTAGAAAATTATAAACAAAATTTTGCGAAACAAATTTTTGAAAAATTTCTCAAAACATTTCCCAAAAATACAATTGTTCTGTTTCCCGATTTTTTTTGTTTCAAAAACAAGAATTTCCGAAAACTTTTCCAGAATTTTTTTAAAAATTTCGAAAAAATATTCCGATAACAATTTTTTTACCCGGCTAACTTTCAGTTTAAAAATCCCTCATAACCAATTGAATATTCTCTTACAAATTCATGACCTGAGTCACTTACTGTAATTCAACATCTCCATTTTCGCAGAAATTACCGTGAAAGCGCGATTATCCATTGAAGATGATAATTTCGATGTACCCCAATAGAAAATCAAACTCCCGAGAGAATTTCCACGGAAATCAATCCATCACAACCGTCCTAATTACCCTTTTCACCAGTGACCCCTGGAAACACGACCCATTAAGTCATCACTTTAAACAATGTATCCCATTTTCGGAAATTAAAAAAATTAACTGCCTCAAAGAGTCTAACGATATCCATTAAAATATCGTGTGGTGCTGCTGTCATTGACTCGAACAAAAAGCCTCGCAATTGGAAAGTGCGATCTCATCTTCCACCGACAATCTTAACTAGAAAATAACCTCGAGTTTTATTCCCCCAAGTAAATACTATGAATCCATTTTTTACTCGTAGGTCGGAGGAGAGAATTCAAGTGAACTTTCCCGTGCACTCGTACATCTTCATGCCAATTAAATATTCAACATTCGAGTTCAAGACTCTCGTCAAAACAAACCGGATATTTGCACTAGACTAGAGACGACTCCACAAATTCGTCAACAACTGAAGATTAAATGAATTCAGAGAAAAAAAATACGTCTGCCGATTTCCGATAGGCAAAATCCCACAATTAACCCGAGAAGACCAGCAATCGGATACACTAATACCTCTCTAATAATAATTTTCAATTGATCGGTAATTGGGGACTTGCAAAATTCTTCAGGATTAAATGAGGATAATTAGTGATTCGTTGGGAAACATTCTCTCTACGAATTGTCTGCGATTATCAATGGCGAGTCCATTAGGAAACAACAGGATCATTGGGGAATATTAGTGGTCGCGAAGAGGATTAGATGATTCGAGAGACACGAAATTAATCGAAATATCGAGGTTGGTGGCCAGAGGAGAGAGGAAATATCCCATAATTTTAGTGAAAGCAGCTTGTCACTGGGAAGAAGTTGCACACGCGTTTTGTCAGTTGTTGCGACCGCAAACTATTCCGCCTGTCATCGGGTAAAAAATATTGTTACGATTGTTTCCGCAAAATTGTCTAAGTGGAATGAACCTAAACGTTTTTGTACACGAGGAATATTAAAAGAAGTCTAATTAAAAGAAAGAGTATAATTAAAAGAAAAATTTATATTCTCAAAAATTACTAGAAAATAAAAAAGAAATTGCGAAGCAAATTT